ATATATAATGTGATACAATATATTTATATTTCTTAGGAGAAGACGAGAGAGGGAGAAGGTGCCTGTGAGAGTAATGAAGGAGAGAAAGAAGAATATTAAGACAGGGAGGGGCTATGGGGGTTAGGAAGGGGGCGTGGTTATATACCATTCCCCATGAATATATAAGTAGCAGTGACATAAAACTGTTATGAAAGGTCGGGGCTCTGTATGGTGTTTGTCGGGGTTCCCCGGACGCGGGGTGAGGTGTCGGCCAATCTACGTATAGAATTGTCCTGTTTCCTTGTACAGAAATATTGTATGAAGTTCCAGTCTGCGGCGGGTGGGGGTCACATGACCACACAGCAGCAGCAGCAGCACTTCTGCGGATAGTTGTCCGTATAAACTTTGTTTTCTTTTCCGTATACAAAGTAATCGTGCGGATTTCCTTTCCAGGTGTACTCCACCTTGGTGAGAGGCAGCCACTCCACGGTGTGTCCCTGAAAGAGAAGAAGACAAAGGCGTTATCACAGTGATCCCTGCTCATCCCTACAAATCACAGTAATCCCTACACATCCCAACAAATCACAGTAATCCCTGCTCATCCCTACAAATCACAGTGATCCCTGCTCATCCCTACAAATCACAGTGATCCCTACACATCCCAACAAATCACAGTAATCCCTGCTCATCCCTACAAATCACAGTGATCCCTGCTCATCCCTACAAATCACAGTGATCCCTACACATCCCAACAAATCACAGTAATCCCTGCTCTTCCCTACAAATCACAGTGATCCCTACACATCCCTATTAATTATGGTATTCCCTACTCATCTCTACTAATAATAGTAGTCCCTATTCATCCCTTCTAATCACAGTGACCCCTAATCCTCACTGCTAACACAGTAATCATGGTGCCACAGCCAATCAGGAAACAGCTCTCCTGACTGACACTGACTTAAAGGGGACATGTGGCTCAGCATTCAAGCAATGCATTGCTATGCTTAAATCCCTCCCCCCACTGCAGTAATCTTACCCGTGTCCTCCATACCCCTCTCCAGTCCTTGATCTGCTCTGTGCATGCTCAGCCACTAATGTTCATTGTTCTACTGCCCCTCCTGTGCCTCAAGACGTGCCCGTGCCCCCCGCTGTCTCCAGTCTGCACCTTGTGCTCTGTGCCTCCAAGTGGTAAATGTGCACCCCTTTCTCTCCAGCGTGCCCCCATGCACCCCATGACCCCCGACTGCTTCCTATGTGCCCATGTATATCCTGTGTGCCCCTGTGCCTTTAGTGTCCCGTGTGCCTTTGTGACACTTGTGCTCCCACAACTTCAGCATCTCATCTGAAGCGCCCCCTAGAGGCTTCTTTGGTTTTGAGTCATTACACTTTGGGGACTGTACTCTGCACTGTGACACTGAACTTTCCGGCCCTTCTGACCCTCACCCATTGTACAAGGTGGACGCCTCGGAGCATCTCATTGATTGTTGTTGGCATTCTAAATGCAATTTCAGACTGGAAATCAATTACTGGGAGGGCTGGGGGAATCTATTTCAGAGCTGCACATCCGTCCACCCTGCAGGTCACTGTAAGTCGTACTGATACATTGTAACAATGCGAGGATCGTACCTGCCGGAGAATCCTGCTGGACGAGGCGAACTGGGAATGGTGCTGCTGCAAGGAATTCTGGGAAGCCTGATTGATGGTTGGAGCTGGGAAGTTGACCAGAGGAGGGAGCTGCAACGAAGAGAGCAAAGTCATGACTTTCCCATCGCATGGAACATTCTATTACATAAGCTGAGAGATTGGACTGGATTGAATTGGGATCAATGGGTATCCAATTAAAGCTGAACTCCACAGACTAAAACTTTCAACTACAAATATTCCTCAATAGCCACAAAGGTACAAGGAATGGGGGAGCAGCTTTAACAGCAACAGGAATAAAAACATTGTATAGCCAAGTTATAACCCCTGCCCCCCCATACATGTTTTTGTCTGTATCCTAACAGGAAGTTAAAGTGATATTAAAATCAAAAGGTTTTTCAGTTATTTCAAATGGTGATGGAATCCCTTACAATGAATGCTGCTTCTTCATGTCTAAAAGTTTTAGTTTCCTGCAGAATCAGCTGGTCCCCTGAGCTGTGGCCCTGATATCCTGTTTTAGGGTGGCTCCTTTCCCTTGCAGGGTCCTATGGAGCCACCCTTGTATGTGCTACTAAGTTGCGTGTGTCTCCACAAACACACAGGGACAGTAAGGTAAGCTTCTCCCCTCCTCTCACCTCCCTTTTTTCTGGGATGGGGGGGGGTGCACAAGGAAGGGTTTGATCCCCTGTTTGGTCTCTGAAATGTTTAACCATGACAGGGGGTGGTGACACTCAGATTATGAGTTCCATTACCAGTAACTGCTCGTCCCTGAAAACCTTCTCCCCGTTCACTTTCCTGAACAGATCTGTAGGGAATTCCGAATTGTGCTCCACTATAAACTCGTAAATGTGGTTTTTCCTGCAAGGAGAGAGAAAATACATCAGAAAGGAAGATACCAAATGCACTCCGCCTGTGAGGAATCCATAATGAAAGCGCGCTTCGCTCATTCTGGCCAGCGATTCGTAAGCAAATTGCTCTTTTTACGGCACCCCTGATTGCTCTGATCACCATATTTTTGTACATGAATAAGTGTGGATTGTTGTACATTAAAAAAAATAATAATAATACCTACCCCAAAAATAAGACCTGGTGTATTTTTATGAGCCAAAAAAAATATAAGACAGTGTCTTATTTTCGGGGGAAACACGGTATTATAACTCTGTGGGATCCCGGGTGAGGCCATTGACCAAATATGGTCATGACCATATTTGGTCAATGACCTCACCGGGGGACCAGGGTGGTGTGTTACCCTACAACGGCACCGGGGATCCGTCATTTAGTGATGGGAGTGTGACATGTAGACATTGTCGGGCGTCAGGTCGAGGTAATTGACAAAGATTTACATCACCCGACGACGTAATCAGTGTGGATATACATTGGGGGACATAAAAAAAAAAAAATATCCTGAGTTTTCCTTCAATTAAAATTAAATTAAATGTATTGCTGGGTTTTTCTTTTTCCTGTTACCTCT